GTCGCGGAGAACCTAACGGGTAACCGGGGCTCCGGCTCGACGTGCAGGAGAAGGAACGGGGTGGTTTTTAGTCAGTAAGAGTCTGACACTCCCTCCCGCCTCACCCAGGCGGGAGCAGACATTCGATGATTTTCCCCCCTTAAAAAAAAATGCTCGGTTCTCCTCCTTCACTGATATAATCCTCAGATTTGTAACGTTACATTACATGCGAATGCTCCCGGTGAGGAAGCACCTTTAGACAATGTCAGGCGTCAAACAAGTCATTCAGTATGCAGGCAAGGAAACAAAGATTGGTTCAGTACAGAGACAGTAGCCATTGGTTGTCTAGAGCCGACCGAGTTACAGAAGACATGGCTTCGTTACAAAGCGTACAATGTACTATAACGACAGCTACTGGCTCTGTACTGAAGCAATCTTTGTTTCCTTACTCGCATACTGAACGACTTGTCGTCTCATTACTAAAATAAATAGAAACAGCTATGAAGTCTCACTGTCATACATTTTCCTAACGACTTGTAATAATAAATCTAAGTTGAGTCCAGTTTTAGCCGATACACCTATGATGGACATCTTTTCTTTCAGTTTTTCATATGTCTTACGCGCTTCGGGCAAATCTATTTTGTTTATAACTAGGGTCGAGGGGCGGCGGCCTAGGGCTTCGCTGTACTGTGAGAGCTCATAGCGAAGCACCTCGTACTGCTCTTGGGGATCCTGAGCCCCATCCAAGAGATATATTAGACCTCTGCACCGCTCAGCGTGTTGCAAAAATTGAATCCCTGCAACAACGAAACTCAAATTAAAACTAGTTTTTATACAATGTGTAGTTTTGAAACCGTGACATTTCTCGTGAGCATATCACAGAAGTCATAAAGGTTACAATGTAAGAGAAAGTTTCGGGCCAATAGTTAAAAATAGGGCTATAATAAATCGTTCAAGTTCGACAGTATTTTAGAATAAGCGACAGCAATGTTTCTTATTGGAGTTTTACGGAATTAGGAATAATATCAATCACGTGTTTGAGTTTTTATGTGTAGAGCCGCGTTATAAAGCTAGTCACAAGACGACAACGACGGCAACGATTTCCGTACTTTACAGAAAAATGAAAAAAAATTGCCTACAATTTTTTTATTGATTCAGACTCAGAATCGATAGTCGAGTCCTAGAAAATGACGCGGCTTTAAAACAACACCTTGAATAGCTATCCATTTACGCCAAGGATACACTAGGGGACAAATGTAGCAGTCATGCTAGCTAAGGAGGAGGCGGGACGCGTCCTCGCAACCCAGCCATCGCGAAGGACACACCGGGCGTCGGGGATCGCGGGACGATCTCCGGCCACCGTAAGCGCGGGCCTGCGGACGGCGAGCATGGGTGGCTCCCCGTCCGACCAGAAACAGACCCGAGCGTACGGCGCCGAGCGTTCTGCGCGCGCCTCAAAGAGCCATCAGACCACCATAGATGGGGCCCAATAGGGATGGTGCCGATTCTGAGTCGCGGAGAACCTAACGGGTTACCGGGGTTCCGGCTCGAAAGGCAAGAGTAGGCACGGGGTGGTTTTTAGTCAGTAAGAGTCTGACACTCCCCCCGCCTCACCCAAGCGGGAGAAGTCATGCGATGATTTTCCCCCCTTAAAAAAGGAGGATAAATATAATGCAACACGTTGTGTCGCCAACGACATTGGGTGAAGTAGCGCGACGTTGCCGGACTTTGCACGACATGCCCGGCAACATCGCGCGACTTGCGACTGCCTTGTGAAACAAAACTTCGTGATGTCGATGTCGTCAGATATGTCCGGCGAAGTTTCGCGAAGTCGCACGATATGTCTGCGATACATCGTGACACATTTGTCCACTACTGTATCCTTGGGTTTACAGTCATGCAAACTAAACGTATACACAAAGTTTCAGTTCAATCAGTTGACGATATCTGCTTCAAAATATAGTTGCAAGATTCCACTTCACACGAATTTACACACACACCGACACATACATAGTAAATAGTATATCATCACGCCTTGTAGGCAGAGGTGTAGTACAATACGGCACTTAATGCCACTGTACAATG